AAAAAAAAAAAAAAAAAAAAAAAAAAGATTAAAATGGGAAGACCAGTTCCTTTCTTACTGGGAAGGTGTGTCTCAGTACACCCCCACCCACCAGGCAGCTTGTCTGAACTTAGAAGGCGTCGCTAAGCCTGGCATGGAAACTGGGGCATGTTGCCAGAGATTGGCTTCTCCTCGTCAGGATCCCTGGGGTGTTCACACATTTGTACCCAAGCCTCTTAAACACTACAGAACACTTTCTGATCCCCCTTAAACACTTGTACAACAGTGCATATAACCTAGAAATGTCCTTGATGGTGATGGTGTGAGGGGGCAGAACAGGGCAAGCATCTGTGGGAAAATGTGGTAGAGAGTAGTGCAGACCAGGGAACGCTCATTCAGTGCACCAGGCGTCAAATGCCTTCCACACCCACCATGTTGTTTTAAAATTCTCACAACCACTACGGGAGCTAAGTAGCTAGGTTTCAGCATCCCCTCTTTTGAAATCACAGATCCTTGATTAGAGCACAGCCTTATAATACCAAGGTCAAGGGGCAGATTCCTGTACTGGCCAGCCACCAAAAAAAAAAAAAATCACATTACAGATCCTAATTCACAGAGCATAAGGTCCTTTTATGCCTCCCAAGGTATCAATCTCAGGAATCCATACCTTGATGTGGCCTCCCTCATATTCATATGGGTATCTGCAGTCAATAATAACAAACTCTTTAATGAGGCTGGCAAACTTGCCATTCAAAACAGATGCCATCTGTGGAGAGAAAGCCAAGGAGAATCAACTTTGACTGTCAGAAATGGCTAGATTCAAATACCCCTTGTGTGGTATGCTCCAAAAGGATAACTTACAATTTCTGGAGAGATGTATTTTAGATCCTGATGCTTTCCAGCAACTGTATGAAAGAGATAACCCTTAAAAAGAAAAAAAAAAGTACTTAGAGAATCTGATTGCCTATATATTTATATTTATATATTTATACTGCTTGCCTGTTGGTAGGAGGCAGCTTTAATTTTTTTTTTTTTTTTTTAAAGATGACTGGTAAGGGGATCTTAACCCTTGACTTGGTGTTGTCAGCACCACGCTCACCCAGTGAGCTAACCGGCCGTCCCTATGTGGGATCCGAACCCGTGGCCTTGGTATTATCAGCACTGCACTCTCCCGAGTGAGCCACGGGCTGGCCCAGGAGGCAGCTTTAAAAGGACAAACATTAATTGAATAGTTAGTATATGCTAATACTCATGTAGACACTTCATTAGTATTCTGACATTTAATTTTCACACAAACCAATAAGGTACATTACCTCCATTTTCAGATGTTAAAGGTAAGTACCTTATCCAAGGTTACCCCCTAGTAAACCAGATTTGAATAAAGAAACCTCAAGTAATTTCCTTTTTCTCCAGCTTTTGTTAGGAATCCTCATTTCAGTAGAAGACTGTGAACAGCACTTAAAAATACAATGGGGGTTGGCCAGTTAGCTCAGTTGGTTAAAGCACAGTGTTATAAACACCACGGTCAAGGGTTCACATTTCCATACTGGCCAGTAGCCAAAACCAAAAAAAAAAAAAAAAAAAAAAAAAAAAAAAGAGGAATATGCTTCATTTACTGAGTACCTGTTATGTCCAGCATGGTGCTAGGCACTAGGAATGGAAAAAAAGGACCTGGTCCAGCCTTGAGGAAGAAGATGGGCACCATCAGCAATTACTCATTAGGACAACTGGCTGAGTCAAGAGCTCACCCACTGATGTGGACTGAATTGTGTCTCCCGAGTTTTATACAGGGAC